TATTTATTTCCTCTATTCCATACTAAAATAAATAGATCCGAACCGAACTTATTTGTTCGTGTACCGATATCATCTGCATCTTGAATAGGTAATGGGACTCGGGGCCTACTCAATAAATGGAAAGATAAACTACAGTATATAGATGTGCACTGAAGACACAAATTATAGTGGAACTCCATCATCCAGCAACACGCGAATGTAGTACTCGTAGTACTTACTATTCGGAACAAATTTATTTATTTATTTATTTATTAAGGCACACCAACAGTACATGTATAGTACATGCATTGGCAAATGTAAATAGAGTCCTATTTACATTTACCAATGCATGTTGCCATGAAACCGAAGCGTGATCCTGCACAGTTACCCGTATGTAAAAGCTTCAAATCATTCAGCAAGTTATGAAAAGGGCTATGCTCTGAGGTTCTTTGCATTACAGAATCCGAAATTAAGATCACCGCAAAAGAACTAAAGTCACTAAAACCTAATGGTGATTCTGTTCTTAAGAAGGTAATATTATACCGATTAATTGCAGTTGCTACAGCCGAGCTGATGGCAATCGCCACAAGTCTTAAATCAAAAGCAAATCATTCGACAGTAGCCATTCTATCGGATAGTCGCTTGGCGCTTATGGTACTTCGAAATGTAGTAACCGAAAACTAACAGCGATTAAAATACACCAGGCTATTTACAACTCGACAAATATTTTCAAATTCATATGGGTTAAGGGCCACATAGGAATTGCCGGTAATGAACTAGCTGAATGCGTTATATGCAATTTTCTTCTATTTTCCTCCCTTCACTTCGGGTGTTCGAAGACGGGACACCTAGTTCAGCTAAGTGTACCAAATAAGAAAAAACAGTATTTCTCCTACTACATGTGAGGTAAACTATAAATCGAAAACGAATATAAATAAAACGTATGTTAACGAAAGCAATAAATTTGCTTTGCAAAATGTTAACTTTTAAATCATTTCCAAGTCTTTGAAAACAGTTTTGAATTCAATAATTTTTCGAAGTTAGTAGTATTTGAAGCCATGATTACAGCTTTCAAACTGAAAGCCAGAATTTGTTCTAGTTTCGCAAATGTTAAAACTCTCAAAATCTTGAGTTTCAGAACTAAAAACGAACTTTATTTTATTCGCGGTTGTATAGCAGCAGCGTATTCTCTATTGTACAGTTACGGATATAAATCGTTTTTAATTTTAAACGTTCAAAGACGGGATTATATCTATTAAGTCTTACAAACAAACTTCGCTTTAAGAAAGATAGAACCTTATCCAAAACACTGATATAGGTACAATAATCTTCTTACTCTCTAGATCCGCGTCTATATTTAAGGTAATTTTGCCTGTAGCCACAATGTAACATTTATTCATATCAATCAGCTACAGTGACCCTTTACCATAAGACGGGCTGTATGCTTGATTGCTACCTTTGTGGTAAAAAAAAAATCGATACGGCCGTTTCTCGACCGCTACGCGTTTTTTTTTTTTGGCAATATTTCTTACATATCTATACTAATATAATAAAAAGAACAGATTTAAATGGTTTATTTACTACGCCAATTATAAAAATAATAAATGTAAGGTAAAACACCACAGTGGAAGCGTTTCATAAGGAAAAAATTCTGTCAGTCGAAGAGGACTAAGTTGGCATCAGCTTCGAGACTTCTCTCTAGATAAATCGGCAGTTCTTCCTCAAATCGTATATGCTCGTAGATAAATACATACTCTTTATTGTTTCCTCCAAAAGACGCACACACAGTTCTTCAGGGCACATATAGTTTAAAACTTGCAATCACATATACGAGTATTTCACAGGAGCAAGCGTCCGCGCACACGCCTCCTTTTAGTCGTATTTTTATGATATTGAAATTAAGTTGGAGAGAAAACAATATTGTAAACAATCTGTGTTTTATTATAAGACGATTAAGGCTTTATTTTGAACAATCAATTCATTTGTAAGAAAAAAAGTCATGACACTGATATTTTATATTGTTGAAAATACACCAGAGGGGATACTTTGTACAAAAGTCACCTGCTTGGGTATCTCTATCTCAATCGTGTTTCAGCTGTGAAACAGTTGTATTTGTATGGCTGTGTTTCCGTTTGAAGGGTGGGATATGGCAGTGAAAATATAAGATACAGAGGTTTAGTCCTCAAAAATGGCAACGTATAAGGAGTATCATACGCTACACGTTATACTCGTTATGTACACGGTACTATTCATGTCTATATATGACAGTTACCACTTTCTATCAGATGGGCCGTCAATATATTTGCTACTTCAAGTTGCATGAAAACAATTTACTTTTGTTAATAGTCAATAGTATTCAATAATTCTATCGGTTATACTAAATATTACGCAGCGTCATGTAGACTCAAACTAAACACACTGTGCACTAGTACTACTTGTAGACAATTGATATAAATACATAAATATTCGTAGTATTTTTTTTTAATAGATACATATTGTACATAGAAAACACCCAGTCAGATTACCAATAGCTGTCTGTTTATATTGGTTTGGAATCGAATATGCGACCAAGACAATACGATGATTTGTACTCGTAATTTTTTTTAAACAACTTATAATGGCAAACAAATGAATTATAATTAGTAATGTAGATTGAGAATCCCATTGCTAGCAATATACCCAATCAGATCGACCTCCACGCGGTTCCCTCTAGAAATTAATTATAGTTAAGTTATATAATTAAGTTGTAATTAATTCCTGATGAATTCATCGTGATAGACTAACTGGCCTGTTTTCATTCTCATCTATCACCCTTCACTGGTGCTCCGCCAGCGTATACCGTTAGCGCAGGCGGGGTTACCATTCCATTTTCACCATAAAAAAATACAAATACTTGTATTGTGCAAAAATAGAACCTGCGGCCATAGGAAAGTTAAACTATGTTAAATCGCTACACTACCAAGTAGTGCTTGAAGGTACTTCAAATGATAATCGAGTATTCGGCAGCCAAGCAGTCAGTTCACTGCGCTTGTAGGCATACCTAACGATGACAGAGAAATGTCGCATCACTCACGTATTGTTGACCCTCGTACCCACAACACTGCAGAATAACATTATAGTACAAATAAGTGCCTTGTATTTTATTTATCATATCTCAACTTTAAAAGCGAAATCTCGCGCGCGACGCAAGCAAATAATTATACCGAAAAGTCGAATGCACTCTTGCAAAGAAAGATAATTTTCTTAAATAACAAATCGTGAGCATAAGGGATTTTATCGTCAAATGCACTTCAACGATGAAGCCTATATACTTTTAACATAAGTTAATAGTCTTTACCTACACTTTTCTGAAGTATATTTAAAAAAATATGTTTTTCTCTATGCTATATCTTTGCTAATTTACAATCAGTTTCGAAGATTGCTTTTTTTTTAAATTCAAATGATTTTCTGTATGTTTGTCCCTTACTAACTGTGTCTGATAATATTTGGCGTCGGTTTTCATATGAAATAAAATATTAAATTAACAACGTAGAGCTCGCTTCGCCAAAGAACTTAGTTGTAAGTAGAGGCGCGTGTCGCGGCGCGGCTCGCGTGCGGCGTGGTGGCGTGGTGGCGTGCGGCGCGCTGTGGTTGCTCTGTTTTAAACGCCGGGCGGTGCTGTGACGTCACCGGCTCTCGTCCCCCACCCCCCCACCGCCACGGCCACGCATCCCAGCTGCCTTCGTTTCAGCGTTACAGTCGATAAGGGTGTCGGAGTGAGCCAGGGGACGGGAACAGTTTCGATATTTATAACAAGTAATTTACAACACGAGAGAATTGCAGTTCGTTTTTTTCTGTAAACGAATCATATAGTTCAGTGTATATAAAGTTGACCATACTATCACGTAATACAATATACAAAATGTAGGCGAATTGAGAACCTTTTCCTTCTTGAAGTTGAACAAAAATTACATTACCGACCAACCCAACTATAGCTACATATTTATTTCGCAGCAGGACAAATGCAGGTATAGCCACGTACGCAGCATTTATTTTTATTCAGAATTAAAATCTGCGTAGACGATGTTTTATTTGTCTAAACTCATTACAATGAATAAACTCAATTATAAAAAAAAAAAATTATATTTAAACTATTACAATCTTGAAATATAGAGGGAATTTGCTACAATAATTTAGCTCAATCATCAGCGTCCACGACATTCGCTTTCGACGACCGCCGTGGGTGACATATTATTTTTTTGTAATGCATGATAATGTAATGATAACCTAGCCAGTGCTAACAACATACGCTGGCGTAAGTATCAGTAAGGGTTGATAGATGGGGGTAAAAAGGCCATTTAGCCCATCGTGATGAATTCACCTGGAATTAACCACGATAATTTCCAGAAGCGACCGTAAGTCGCTAGATAAACTATATTTTTAGCAAAATCTCAATTAAACAGCCTTCCCTCCTCCCCCCTTCTTCAGACCAAGTGGTAGACACATTCCTTTGCTTAAATGAAGTCCCAGATTCGATAACGGTCGATTCAAATCAGGAATAAGTTTATTCGGGTCTCGGTGTTCTGGATTATGTTCCCTGATGTTCTTTACCTTAGTTTCCCATAGCATGAAGTGTTCTAGTATATAAAGATCAGAAATTTGGTTAAATTTGGTTAATTCTTATTGGACAGGTTTAAACGTAACGTCATCATTATCATCATTATATCAGCCTGTATCTGTACACTACTGAATATAAACCTCACCCTTAGGGGGTTTTGCCAATAGTTGTCACGTTTGGCAGGCGAGTTCGTATTCGCAGTTAGATTTTGAACATGTTTTAACAGGGATGCTGCTGCCCATCCTTTGACATAAACTTAACGTGGAAGCCAATAAACACCAGATAATAACCAAATTGACTTAACTCCGATCACGAATACTTACCTTCTATTGTGAGTAATCTGAAAGAAAGTGCTGTATTCGAGTTTGGCCCTCGGTCTACGCGGCGAGTTTCAGTTTCGTGCGTCTCCGCGGCCGGTCGCGCGACATCGGCTCAGTAGTGGAGCGACCATCGCGCGGTACGTTTCGTCCGCCGCGCGTCCCCGTGTCCGGCACGCACCGCGCCGCCTCGCGCCGACACCGCCGCGGCCGCTGCCGGCTCCGCTCGCGCTAAACTTGTGCTATGTGAACCGTGCCTAGTGTACACCCGAAACATATGAATCTATGGATTGCCAACTACTTTTTCAACTTTATTTAAATTGCCTGCACTAGTTCCTGAATGTGATATGATAATACGTGGGCAGGTAATTGTCTTTAGAGTACTTCAAACTTGTTTCCGATAACAATAGTATATATACGCATACTGTTGATAATTAAGTAATACTTTTAATTTATAATTATTATTCTATTCTTACTTAATTATAAATATTTTTCTACATTTATTTTAACCTTCGCACTATAACAAAACATAGACTTGATTTAATAATTCATAATTACAAGTCAATAATTATGTTACCTATACTTACTTTAATATATATTTTTTAAATTCAACCAGTATCTATTTATATTATCTCTTAATTAAAAAAGAAATTTTATGTACAAGTCATTAATTAGTGGCACCTTCTACTCACATCATGAGTCTTCTCTTTCACTATTTTTTTTTTTAAATATATATTTTAAACAAATAAGACGTGAACAGATATAAAGTACGTAACTTATAATGAAATATAATTATACTGTGATGGTGCTATTATTACGATACGTACTTATTAAAAATTAAGTAATGGAAAACGATTTATTTGTCAATAGCACTTGTTATCTACTAGAAATTGTTACAATTCCAATGTCGGTCGTCCAACATCAACTTAAACCCAATTAAGAACATTTTAATTGCACACTTGCGTTGGAGTCCGGTTTACCAGTGTATAAAACACTATAATTTTTGTATAAGCTTTCATTAAACTTTGCTTGTTCGTATCTTCTTATCTATCTTCTCTCCTTCAAATTTTGTTCAGAAATCCGTAATTAAACGGTACAAATCGAACCCTTATCGTCTTACTTTGTCCATCTGTCACAACAATACCTACTTCAGCAAGCACAACTGCATCATTAGTTTGCGAAGTAACAATTGAAATAGTTCTCAAATTTACTTATCGAAGGTTACAGCAAATGATGAAACATAAATAAGGAAATATTTTCAAAGGGTATCATAAAAGTGACAATAACAAGAAAAAGTTTAGAAAATTATAACCCGTCGACGGAGAAAATAATATTTAGCACGAGTATATTTAAAGGTGGAATAAAAATCGGTAAAAAAACTTTTAAGTTAAACGGTTTTATTTTATGTGCACTGAAAACTACAAAATAAATAAATAGTTACTTACCTATCAACCTACGTAGGTGATCTCGGTCATTAATATCTCTGATGGTAGTGGTTGTCATAGCATGAACTATGTCAGCGGCCGAAAGGCAGTTCATGAGAGAACACTGACACCAGGGTTTGCTTGGTAGGTAAACTAAGCAGCCCACACTATAACAAGTAGGTATTTTGACCTTGTAGTTCAGAAATATTTTAGTACTAGGCAGAATAGCTTTTAGGCATATTAGACTAAAATAAAAACGTGGGGCCCATTAACTATTTCTGTATTACTTTCTACTATACTAAGTGTGGATTGCATTGACTTATTATAATCGTCATCATCATCATCCTAGCGGTTTATCCTGGTCGCATCCGAAACCTCATAGCTCCGGAGTCCAGGGTCCGCTGAATCGACTTACTATAATCGTTACTGGAGGTTTTGACCATCAATAACCAGCCGTTACGGCTTCACCAGCGAACGCCGAGCTCATGATCTACCAAAGTATAAGATATGCTCTGCTATAGGTATGATTTCAGAGGGGCCCCACGTTTTTATTTTAGTCTAATATGCCTAAAAGCTATTCTGCCTAGTACTAAAATATTTCTGAACTAGAAGGTCAAAATACCTACTTGTTATAGTGTGGGCTGCTTAGTTTACCTACCAAGCAAACCCTGGTGTCAGTGTTCTCTCATGAACTGCCTTTCGGCCGCTGACATAGTTCATGCTATGACAACCACTACCATCAGAGATATTAATGACCGAGATCACCTACGTAGGTTGATAGGTAAGTAACTATTTATTTATTTTGTAGTTTTCAGTGCACATAAAATAAAACCGTTTAACTTAAAAGTTTTTTTTTTTACCGATTTTTATTTTCTTGTTTTTAGTTTTTAGTAGTGAAATTGTTTACCGAATATTCCTCATTCTATTTAATTCATTCGGTGCATCATTATTACATGGTTTCTTACCTGATAATTTAGTACAATCTAATTCCTCAATACATAGCCCTTCCAGAGACTTGACTCGACTTAGAGCCACGTACGCTTGTCCTTCCTCAAACCATTTTGAGCCCAAATATACTACTGCATGGTCGACGGTGCTGCCCTGCATTTTATGGACGGTGAATGCTCATGACCAAACTAAGGGCAACATCCTTTTTTCAGCCGTACCATAATTGAATTTTGCTGGAAACTGTATGGCTTTAAGGTAAATAACGTGCATGCCGTCTGTGCCAAAGTCAATTAAAACTGATGATATATCTGTTTCGTACATTTGGGTTCGACGGAACTGAGACCAAAAAATTTCTGTAATGTGGCCTATAGCGTCATTTACCAATCCTTTTGTAACGTCAATGTTGGGCCGCAACATTACTTTTGCACCTACAAATATTTCAAGTACTAATGGTAAGCCTCCAGTCTTATTTATATTTGTTGGTATTTTTTGTTTATTGTTACCATGTTGTTCCCACAATTAAGGGGCATTTTGACGGTCGACCCCCCCCCCCCCCCCCCGCAGTCCAGTAAAGGGGCAAGGCTTAATATACAACAAGATGCGCCCAATCTTGAGGGGGAAGCGCTTACGACATTACATTTTTATCCACCCTAATGGCATACAGTCCTCGGCACGTTTTAACCTATTACCTTAACTTGGGTGGTATAACTACCGCTTACTAACGAGGTATCTAATTACCTATTTTTTTTTTATCTGCCCCTCTAACGTCACACAATCTTAGACGCAACTGTTCTCGATACGACTAATCATGCCCCCACCTAATACGCCATTTTGTAACAGCGTCCATCTTGAATTTGAAATTTTGACATAATGACAGTATTCTGCAGTGTAGTCCTATTATTTGATACCCATATTGTGGTGGTTGTGGAAAAATATGTACCTAGTCCGCCATATGGGAACGGCGTCCATATTGAATTTTAAATTTTAACATAATCATCGTGTTTTACTAGTATAGCCCTTTCATTTGATACCCATATTGCGGGGGTTAAGGAAAAATATGTAATCCGCCATTTTGTATCGGCGGCCATCTTAGATTTATAATGTTATTGATTTTATTATATTGTATTGTCATCTAAATTAAATGTGTGTACCAAATTTCAGATCAATCTGACAACGGGAAGGTGCTTAAATTCCAATTTCTAATTTTGACCCAAATAAATAAATACCGTACAGGTCGAGCTAAATAAAACTGTTTAAAAATAAAAAAATACAAGAAATAAAATAAATAAAATTGCCAAAATAAGAAACCATTATTATGTTCATATAAAATGTAGGGCACGTCGGAGATACCTAGACAATAATGACGAATTGGTTGACACTATAAGTTCGACAAAATCGGATGAGCACAGCTGCGGTGGAAGAATTTATAAATATATTAGTATACATTTATAAACTGTTAGTATATATAGTTATATTGTATCATAAACCGCAGGAGTTTGTTTATTTGAACGCGCTAATCGCTGAACTACCGGGCGGAATTGAAAAATTCTTTTTGTATTTGATAGTTCGTTTCTTGAGGCCATATTAAAGGCTATGTTGTTGGCAACTTGGTCAGCCGGCCTTTTTTATATATTTGTATTTTTTTTTAAATATTTTTAACACTTTCTCTGTTAGTTTAATTATAAAAATTTTTTTTTTTTTTGTAATGTCGGTTTGTATTGCTCTTCATTCACAGGCTATTTAACATCACGATATGACCACGTATCTAATATATATTTATACAACAATTAGTAATATATATTACTGACTGCTGTCCACGCTGTCCTCTTTCAGAAATCCTCTCCTAATTCCGTAAGCATTACGTTATAAAATAAACCTGTTCCAAACAGCCTTAAGCTTAATTTTTGGCTTAAGTTTTGGCTGTGTATTGACGGTCAGTCAGAACAAACGATTTCATAAGTATAGATTGATAAAAACCCCTTACGGTTTGGTATCGTCATAGTTGAGTAAAGATCAAAGCGGCCACACAATTCCGAAAGAGGTATCAAAATGAAAAGACTTACTTGAAATGTCTTCAACAATCCAAAATAGTTTTAATGTTTTTATCATACATGTAAATGTAGGTGAATAGAGATGTTTCTACATTTTTAAAGACTTGCCGACGGGACTAGACCTTAAACCCGTATGCCTGAGGTGTCTGAGCTGTTGTCTTTTCAAATACCTCGCATAAGGGATAATTACTATAAATATCTCCACTTATTGTAGCGTAATATGAGAAAAAAAAAGATTGTTTACAGTAGACTATTTTTACATATGTTTTGAGTTACTCGTACATCGCGTTTACAAAATTTTTTTTTTTTTTTTTGGAAAGTATTGAGACTGTACTTATAGTAGTGTCGTTGCATTTGTACTTATAGAACATAGACACGGAGAGGACTCTCAGCTTCAACGTATGATTGATGATACTAATTCTAAAGTAATAGTAATAGTTCATTGCGCCGGTAATGGGCGGCGCGGCGGACCGTCTCTCGCCTCTGCTACTCGTATCTCTGCGGAACACTGGATTGCGAGTTTGATAACATCGGTATCCACAATCAAACTTCACGGAATTAAGTTATTATACTAGACGAATAGATGCGAAAATTGCCATAGTTTGTAAACTCAAAATGCAAGCAAACCAGCCAGTTTTCTGTTAATATAGCAATCATGAAACAACTAGTCTAATAATTAAAGATTACGAACTGCTACTACTTACTAAAAAAACGCCGTCAATTGTGACAAATCTTTATTATGAGTATTTTCTCAAACATGCTTGGAAATTTGAGCATTATTTTGATAACCTTCTTCGAGATAAATCGAACTTGCGGTACTGGTCGAGCAGCGGCCGGCAATAGTTGTATGAAAATCCATATCTGTCGTGTTTAGCGGCCAAATAAATTACTATGTAAAATCATATTTGTCGTGTAATTTAAAAATGGAACGATCTTCTACTC